CCTTCCAGGCAGGCTGCTTCCCCACTGACCAGCATCCTCCACATCACCTGAGGCCTGAATATCTGGGAAGCCTGAGGGCAAGTCAGCACCTTGGCAGGCTTTCTAGGAATTTCACAGGGCCTGGAATGGCCAGGTTTACACCCTGGCTCCCATACTGGCCACCTGGAGGTTTTGTTAACCACGGACCCTCTCCAACATGCAAGGGAGGTCAGCATCCTCCCTTCCCGGGTCTGGGGTGCCGTGCAGCTGAGATGCAGCTCAGTCCAGGTTCGTAATAACCAATGACCGCATGGTGAGAGCCAGTGGTTCTTCCTACTTTTGCTGTGATCACTGTTACCATCATTAGTATGATGGCCACTGTTAAGGTCTCAACATATATTCATGGGATTGCAGAGAGATGTTTTTAAAATATCAACATGCATCCCCCATCCCAGGTATAAAACTCTGGGTTGAGGGCAATGGAGCAGACGAACACTGGTAACTGAAGGCTCCCCTCTAGAGCTGGGCACCTGGGTTTGCTCACTCCTCAGTGTATCTGATGAGCCTGAGTAAGATGGGACTAGCAAGGGGCCTGCTATCCCCCAGGGCTGCGTGATGCTGGGCCCGGTGGCCTGGAAGAAGCAGGAGCTGGCTGGACCCCACGGCCTCAGGTCTGGACACAGAAGGGCTCCCATGATGCAAGAAGGAGACGGAGAGGGGCCCCTAGGTAGTCCCAGAGTGGCAGAAATGGAAACCCCCAGAACCTGGCAGGGAACAGGTGCACCTCGTTCTCTTATCCATGGTACGGGCTTCCTTTGCTTCTTCTCTCTAGTCAGGAGGAAGAGGCTGTGTCAGAACAGCAGATGGCAGGAAGTCATGTAGATGCCATCCATCGGGACTGAGGCTCCTGCCAGGCCTCCTGTCCTCGAGGCCTGGGGGAGGTAGAAGGAGGACTGGGAGGCTGTCTCAGGGGCACCCTCACTTCTGGGGACCTGCCTCTGCTCCCTGGTTCTGGGAGCTCCATTCTGAGTCTTCTCTAGCAGCCCTTTGGGGTCCTGGACTACACTGTGCTCCATATAGAGTAAGCGACATGGAATGTATCACTCTGTGTGCTTGGCTCTCTTCATTCTCCACACAGTATGCCACTCGTCACTGTCCCCTTGGCCCTGGGCACAGCAGGGTTAACCCTGTGTGTCCATCAGACACACATTCATACACACATGCACATTCACACATGCACACTGTAAGGAAGCTACGACACCCATTCACCCCTCCCCACTCCTTCCCCGCTTGCTTAAGCAACATCTTGTTTTCACAGCCAGCACCTGCATCCTCAAGGTTACATGACCACCAGCACCAGCCTGCTTTCTCAAGGCCATGTCTCAGGGCTATGTGACCATTAGACCCTGCTTTCTCAGGACGACATGTGCTACATGACCACCAGATCCAGCTAGGGGTTATAAAAGGGACACACCAAAAGAACAAGCTGCTGGTTCTTCTTTAGGGCCAGCCTTTCCTTTCTTTCCCTCTAATAAATTTTCTTTACCTAACCACTCAGCTCATTGTCCTTTTGTCCACACTTGCCTTACACACACACACACACACACACAAACTTACACAAAGGCAGAGGCTGGCTGGGGTGGCCATGTGCTGGGCTCCTAGGGACTGCGATTGACCAGTCAGGGGTACCACAGGGACACTGAGGAAGGAGGCTATACATGTCCTCAAGCCTGAGCAGCACCAAGTCTCCCTGGAGGCTGGTTCCAAGGGCATGGCCCATGACAAAACTTTTTTTTTTTGCTAGAAGTTTTTCTTTCTCATCTAAAATGAGGACTGATAATAAGCCCTCAGAGTTGTGAGAACTGAATGAGATAATGCACAAAAGTGCTTGTGGCAGTACTTGCTTACAATCTTGTAATTTCTCAAGAAAACTCAACCTGCAAATTGTCAGCTGGTCACAGACCGTATTCCCAGAAAGGCATTTCTTCCAGGTCATATGCCACAGGACAGTGTGGACATCAAACCACTGACACCTGCACTGCTGGCCCCAGACATGAAGGCTGATCTGGGATCCCACTGCTTTACTCCTGGGGCCTCTCCTGGCTGCAGGACTTCTCCCCAGATGTCACGAGGGAGTGAGGCCACGGCTGGTCACAGAGACACCTTGGAATGGACTAGAACAGGCCATCCTCAGAACAGACACAGCCCTGTAGGGACAAGGCCATGAACAGAGAAAAGGGGTGCCCCAGGTCAGGACCCCACTGGCTGGTCACCAGCCTGCCTCTACCCAGAGAGCACTGGGATCCCACAGCAGCAGGAGAGATCGTAGTTCCCCTCTCTGTGTGGTCCCCATCAGCAAGGGGATACGGTGGGCAAGAGGATCCCAGATCCCAGGGAAGGGGGATGAGCAGGCCTCCAGGGTTGTGCCACCAAACCAGTCTAGACCTGCCCCTGTCCAGGTGGATAGGGTGACCTGCATAGGGCCAGCTCCCTGAGAAGGCAATGCATGAGTTGAGATCAAAGAATGAGAGGGGGTCGCTAAGAGCAGGAGGTTAAAGCCCCAGAGACAGGGGAAGGGCATGTGCAAAAGTCTGGAGGTAGGATGGAACATTGCAAAGGCCACTGAGATGGAACAGCGGTGCAGGTGCATTGGGGCTGGAGAGCTGAACCTGGTATCCATGCTGAGGAGTCAGGGTTTATTCCTGGAGCCCCAGAAGGGCACTGAAGGATTTAAAGCTGGTGGAGGTGAGGTGGGGTAAGGGTGCCAAGTCTGGATTTTATTTAGAAACACTCTCTGGACTCTTCCAATTGCTATCCAAGGAAGGACAGAGCCAACCCTGCCACCAAGAGACATGTGCCTGCTCAGAACCCATCCAACACCAAAGATATACCACAGGCCTGTGAGTAGCCAAGGCCCTGGAAAACATTCAAGACCTGGGGAGTATGTTGTCTCTGGAGCAAAATCACTGGAGACCCAGTCAGTACCTGGTACCTGAATAGACCTGGAGATTAGTTCAATGCTTCATACAGAGGCGGGAATTCCAGAAGGCAGAGCAGCTAATGTCAACAGCAAACAAGTATTATGTCCACTTGACAGACAGGACCCTTGAAGCTCAGAAAGGGAAATGTGACCAGGAGCCACTGGGGCTGAAATCAGGGCCTACAGCAAGTTCCAGAAGCAGGGAGAGGGCTGAGGCAGCAGGAGACTACAGAACACCAGCTGGCAGGAATTAGGGTAAGAGGCCTGGCCAAGGGGGACACATGGGGCTAGGGTGAGACCTGGGAAGTCTTTTCCCAGGACAGAGAGCACAGCCTGGGCACAG